ACCCCCGCGGCGAGGAGGAAGTGGCAAAGTGCCACGCCCTTGCAACGACGCTCACGGAGTCAAGTGCACTCGGAGGGGAGACGAAAAAACGATGACCATGACCAAGATTGAACGCGGAACACAGGTGTCGATCTTGGTCATTTTCCACCTTGGCCAGCGTCAAAGATTGTGGATCATCCACGCGGATCGGGGACGACCGGCATGGACCATGACCGAGATCGGTGTCGATCAGATCTAGCGACATCTTGGCCATGGCCAGCGCATTTCTTCCCTGCTGCGCGCACCCTGGCATCCTGCCAGTCGGGTTCCAGAGAGTGCATGCTGTACAGTGGAGACCAGTCCACAAGAAACCTTCCAAAAGAACCCCAACCCGAAGTCCCCAGGACCCCCTTTGATGTTTGATATGGGCACGTCACGTTTTCCATGGCAAAACCATCGAAACCCAAGAAACTCAGGGCACCCTGGAGACAAGCAGGGTGTTTCTTGGCATGGGCCTCCACTGTACGCCCGCGCTGACCAAGCCAGCTACCCGCGCGGCAACTGGAGCCAGACAACAGGGACGCTGCTTCGCTCGTCGCTCGTTGCGCAAAGGTGGCGCCTCCACCGTCGCGGGGAACGGGCTGACTCGCGAAGCTCTGCTGCGGACAAGCGCGTTCCAATACTTGCAAAATAACTACTCGCAAATGGCTTGGATCCGCCGCCGGGGACTTACGATCCACTACATAGGAGGAAGACACGGTGTTTTTCGGGCGTTTGCGAGTAGACACTTTGCGAGTAGTAGAACGCGCTCGGTGATACTGGAAGCAATGTCTGAGTGGACGTCTCCCATGGGACCTACTAGTGGTGCAGCCGTCAACCTGGTCGGCCCAATTGCAGTGCTGGATCGCAGGCCGCTTGCCTTGCTGCTGCCCGCGCGGGGCCCCAGCCAAGCGACAGAGGCGCAGTGCAGAGCAGGACCCGCAGCCAAGGACACTGTGGTCGGCGCCAGAGCCAGAGCCGCAGCAGGAACCAGGACCAGCATGGGCTTCGAGTGAGTATGTAACATCAGTGAGATACGTGCGGTGCGTGCTTGGCGCCCCGAAGATAAATGCGCGCGTGTCGGTGCCGGTTGTGGGGGCAGAGCGCGTGCACGTTCTTCCCTTCCCCTCCTCCCCCCTCCGTCGTCCCCTCCCTGTCCCACCCTCTCCCGCGCCCCTCCTCCTCTTCCTTTTCCGTGTTCTTGCTGGGGGTGGCGGGGGCGGGGGGACAGGCACAGCCCTAGCCATAGACCAAAAGGAGGCGCAGAAGATCGAGGGTGTCGAAAGCGCGGTCTGCCAGCTCCCCATTGGGCATGAGGGCACGCACAAAAACATACAAAAACTGCCCGTGCACTCGCGAGGGCGTGCCCGAGGGGGACTGGGCCGAGCAGAGGGCAATCGCCCTGCCGCCGACCGCCGCCTCGACACGCGTGGGGCCTGGCCAGTCAGCACGGAGCTGGGCACGAGAGGGGCATGCCTGGACCTGCTCTGTCCAGAGCAGGCCGAAATCCCCACTATGGGGCATAGAGCCAGAACTAGAACCACGCGGAGGTGGAGGAAGAGGAATAGAACGGGAGAGGAAGAGGAGGTGGATGATGGGATGAGGAGGAGGGTCGGGGAGGAGGAGGGGGAGGAGGAGGAAGAGGGCGGGAGGAAAAGGAGGGGAGAGAGGACAGGAGGGAGCAGAAGGAGGAAAAGGAGAAGCACCAGGGACGAGCATACGCAGGACGGAACTCCAGTGCGGCAACAGAGCCGTCGCTCGCCCCGAAGACCCCAGGGCGACCGCTGGAGCCTCGAAGGGCTTCTGCCTCGGGGTCGGGAGGTCGGGCGTCACTTCGGAGACGCAGAGACCCAAATGGCTCTTCAAGCTCCAGGGCGGCAACGGAGCCGTCTCTCACCCCAAAGACCCCAGGGGTTGGGGATCAGGAAGAGGCCGATCATTTTTCTATGACTGCACTGCAACATGCTGGCAGGAGTCAGAACTGAGTGTCCTCTAGTCGTCGTCCTCCTGCTCCTCCTATGGAGGAGGCACATTACGATGTAGTATACAACGCCTGGCAAGAGATGCTCTCAACGGTAAGACCTTCGACATACATGACGAAGGAATTGAGATAGAGCAACTCGCATGCCTTCGACCAAATACAACTTCCTCCCCTCCTCCTCCTCCTCCTCCTCCTCATCCATCTCATCCATCTCCATCTCCTCCTCCTCCTCGTCCTCCTCCTCACACGAGCATGCGTTAAGTCCTCTCAGGGCACATTTTGAAAGCTGCGGTGCTGCTCTTGGGGCTGGCACCCTATGCATTACATTTTCTTCACGCTGCATTGAGGTTCGATCAAAGTGTGGATAAAAAGCCTCCAACACATAGTAAACAATAACGGCCTCATTGGGCATGAATTGACATGGGCTCGCATCCTGCTTGTCAGTTCGAATGCCGAACTGGAAGGCACAGCAGGAGAGTGCGAAGCCTGGCACCGACTAAACAGGCATTGGCTGGCCTCACCGGAACACATATGACATCCTACGCGCACGCACCCAGCCCAGCCTGCTTGAATCCAACGACCCCCCTGGGGGGGCACTCGGCTGCGTGAAACAAATCCTCTGTACAGTCTGACCTAAGACAGAAACACATCCTTGAAGAACATGAGACCCTCCGCTGGCCAAAACACACACAGAACATCCAAGGGTAATCTCCCCAGGATGCACAAGAACATCCAACAATCAAAACAATCATTAGGGTACCCTTCCCGAGCCAACCTCGATCTTATACCTCGGTCCGACTGTAGTTGATCTTACAGGATGCAGCCACCGTGCAAGGATGTGCAATCCGCCAATATCCTCTTCCTCTTCCTCCTCCTCTTCGTCCTCTTTATCTTCCTCCTCCTCCTCCTCCTCCTCCTTAGATGCCTCCTCCTCCTATTCCCCGCGTCCTCGTAGTCGGTCTGCGCGTTCTTCTCCTCGGCCCGACTGTACCAAGCGGCGCACGAGGCACCGAAACACAAACACCCAGACCCACGGGTGCCAAAGCCCTGCGCGTGCCGCGGGCGGGGCAGGGAGGAGCGGAAGCCCTCCTCTCAACAACCTGGCCCGTAAATGCAGCCATCCCGATGGCCGACAAGGCCAGCGCGTGGACGGGCGCGTTGAGGGATGGGCCTCCTCCTCCTTCTCCTCCTCTTCCTCCTCCTCCTCCATCATAATCATAATCACAATCAACATCATCACCATCAACATCATCCTCCTCCTCCTCATCATCATCCTCATCATCATCATCAGCAGCATCACCCTCATCCTACTCCTCCTCATCATCCTTGTCATCATCATCATCATCATCATCATCATCATCAGCATCATCATCATCAACATCACCATCACCATCACCATCACCATCACCATCACCACCATCACCATCATCATCATCATCATCATCATCATCATCATCATCATCATCATCATCATCACCGTAATCATCATCATAATCATCCTCATCATCACCAATCGTCAGTATGAGTATCAACACCACCATCACATCAACATGATCAACCATCACCATCATCATCGCCGTCATCCTCACCATCATCACCCTCATCACCATCATCACTATCACCATCACCATCACCATCATCATCATCATCATCATCATCATAGTCGTCGTCGTCACCGTCACCATGACACACCACCATTACCGTCACCGTCACCATTATCAGCATCATCACCACCATCATCATCATCATCATCATCGTCGTCGTCGTCGTCGTCATCAACACCATCATCGTCATCGTCTTTGGCATCTTCATTGTCATCAGCATCATCATCGTCATCATCATCATGATCATCACCATAAGCGTCGTCGTCATCACCATGACAACTACCACCACCAATATCATCAGCATCATCACCACCATCATAACCATCATCATCATCGTCATCATCGTCATCATCGTCATCGTCGTCGTCGTCGTCATCATCAACACCACCATCATCACTGTCACCACCACCATCACCACCACCACCACCACCACCACCACCATCATCATCATCATCACCCTCATCACCACCACCACCACCACCACCACCACCATCATCATCATCATCATCATCATCATCATCATCAACATCATCATCCTCATCCTCCTCCTCCTCCTCCTCATCATCATCATCATCATCATCATCGTCGTTATCGTCATCGTCATCACTATCATCATCATCATCATCATCATCACCATCACCATCACCATCACCATCACCATCACCATCACCATCACCATCACCATCATCATCATCATCATCATCATCATCATCATCATCATCATCATCATCATCATCATCATCATCATCATCCCCACACCCCTTCCGCGCGTGCGAAGGCATTCCGGGGAACCATCCAGTGGGCTTCTGTCGCTCTCCTTTGATGGAAAATAGTGGGTTGTCCTTTGCAGCGGGAGTGCTGGTCCTTGACGCTGGGTCGCAGCTGCTCGATGCGGTAGCGCGCGCGTGTTGTTCCCCTGCGTCGTGCTCCTGCTGTGCGATCTTGTCCTCGTAGTCGATATTGCCCTTTGGCTGTTCTGATGTGTCTTCCTTGACGGTCGGCAAGGTGGGTGGGTCCGTGAATCTCACTGGCTTTGCTCCTGAGATGGGCCAAGTTTGAGGGGAGGCTTGGTGAGCTGGGTTGGAAGTCGCCTGCAAGGGAGTGGTTGCTGGCGTTGTGCTGGTGATTGTACTGCCACTGCTCGTAGGTATGACAATGTCCGATCGGTGGGCTGTGTTATTGATTGCGGTCACCATTGTAGCTTCCTCCTTGTAGGTGCTGTCTCCCTGTGAGGCCGGCTCCCGCGTCGGTAATATCTCGATATAGATCTCGCGCTCGAAGATGCTGTAGTCGTCGCATGGTGCCAATATTGGTTTTGGGCTGCGCATCTGCTTGGTGCGAAGGATGGCGCGGCTTGCGCACGGAGGGCGTGGGCCTCCCTCTCGTATAGGTGCGACCGCGAGCATGTTGTTGCCGAAGATTAGGAATGGCTCGCAGTCCTGGTTGACCTTGAGGTGGGAGAATAACGTGGGAGAATAATGTGCCACCTGCGTGCTCGCTGTAAAATGAATGTGTTCGGTCGACCCATTCGTGCGCGTCTGGTTCCCGTTGGTATTCGGTCCGCATCTTGTCGAATAGGTCGTGGGTGGTTCGTGTCATGGCCTTGTCGGCCTGCTCTCGTTTCACTGGGTGCGTTGGTGTAGGAGGGTGGTCGGTGAGGGATGGAGGGTACATCGGCCTGACGCTGTGGTAGAAGCAGCCGTCCTTGTTGATGCTGAAGGCCTCGATGTTCTGGTCGGTTAGCTGCCGAGCGCAGCATGGTTCGTTGTTGACGTCGCCTGGGAACTTCCACTGGGTGGTGCCTGTCTCCAGGTTGCGGTAGTAGGCGAGGCTTCTTGTTACGTCAGCGTGCGCGGTCCAGCCTGGCGGCAGTTGAGCGCGGCGGGATGGGTCAGGTCGTAGTGTTTCGCCTTGCTTGTAAGTTGGTGGGCCGCATGGGCCGCGGAAGTATCGGTTGGTCCCTGGAGTCGTTGTAGTGATGTGTATGGGGGTTTTGCCTGGGGGTGGGCCGGGCGGCGGCGGCGGCCGGTTCGGTGTCGGGGTCGCGTTCCGGTTGTATATGAGCTGGAAGACGATCGGCATAGGTAGCGGGACGGTTTGTTGGACCTGTGGTGTGGATATTCGCTGGATGAGCTGCAGGTCGGCATATGTGGGAGTAGTGCGAGCTGGCCGTTGTGCTCGTTGTGGTCGAGCTTCTGGAAAACCGCATACCACTCGGGGAAGTAGCTCTGGGTCCAGTTGATGGGCTGAAAGCCTGCGTTTCGTAGTTGACGCAGGTGACGTGTGGTATGGCTCTCCTCGTCAATGATGAGGTATTGCCTTGCTTTGTGTGCATCGTGCTCGGATAGGTTGTCGACGTCGGTGACCCGTTATCTGCATGATACCACACAGTAAGATGTCGGCATGTTGCGTGTATATGGTGCTTCGTAGTCAGGTCGCTGTCTTATCTCAGTTAGTGCATCTCCGTCGGGGGTGAACTCGACTTGATGGACGATGATCTCCCGCTTGGTGGCATCAGTGTGGGCGTCGGCCGTTCCGTCGACTCTTCTTGTACATGTCGCCGAGGTAGTGGTGATCTCCTGCAGCGCATGAGCTGGGTGTTCAATGAGGGCGTCGTCGATGATGGCGGGCAGTTTGGGAAGGTCGCTGATGGGTGCGCTCAGCTCTAGGATCGTCACGTGGTCGATCTCCTTCGTAGGTAGTGGTGGCATTCGGTATGTGCCCGTGCATGCTGGCAGAAGTGCGATGTCCCGCTGGTGGCGAAAGATATACTGGTACTCGCTGCCTCTGAAGTCCGTCTCGTCGCAGTGTAGTCCACCAGTTGTTTGTGGAGTAGTGTGGTGGCGATCGATGGGGAAGATGTAGTTGTCCGTAAATGGACGTAGTGCTCCTCCTCTGCGGGTTTCTACGATGTTTCTGGCATGTGCGGCTGGTATCCCAATTTCAAAGCCAAGGTGCAAAGCGCCGTACATGTCGGTGATCGCCATGATGTATACCTTCGGGCTGTATCGCTATGTTGCTGTGGATGACTTTGCGTTCTGTATATTCGAAGATGCGGCGCTTCTCCATGCCCTTCTTTTTGAAGATGTATAGGGTCTGAAGGTTCGCGGAATGCTCCTCGTCCTTGTTCTTCCACGGTGGTGCTAGTAGCAATGGTGGGTCAGTGCTTGCCAGTTCTTGGATGTCGTGTCACTCCAAGTTGCGGACGGGTATCTTCCTGGGGTCGCGGTCGTAAGCGGCGTCTTCTGGCGCGCGATCTTGTGTGGCGGAGCAGTAATGCGGGCAACTGTCAGGTCAGTCCATCCAATGGTTTGTGTCGGTCCACATCTCGTTGCTGGAATGGACCATGCAATTGTCAAACGCGGCGACCCAGCTCTCCTTGACCGTGTACTTCCAGCATTCCCCAGTTGCGGCGAGGTAGGCGATGGCGATGCGGTGCCGATAGGCGGCCTGCACGAAACCGCCCTTCACTGCCGCGGGGACGTAGATGTAACCCAGGTCGAGGTAGACGTACGTGTAGTTGCACGTGATGGTGTCAGACGCGTTGGCTCCTTACGATGGCCTGACAATGCCTGAGCAAGTGGTAGCTCCTTGTGGTTCTGCTTTGGGGTCTCCAGGAATGTAGATGAGCGCCCTCTTGTAGCCCTTGCTGTAGGACGTAAGTGTGGGCATTCCTTATTGTCGGTGCTCTGTGGAGCCTCGCTCCGCGTCTTGCGTGGAGCTGCGTCAACAGCTGCAACTCGCCGTTGGTTGGCGTAGTCTAGGTCCGTAACTCCCTTGGCGCAGTGGAGCTCGACCTGGTTGAAGTCGGTGAACTTCGGTAGCTTACCAAAGACGTATGCCGGTATTCAGATGCCTTCGTCTTGATCTTGTTGAGGTATGTTGACGCATAGTGAGCCGCTGAGGATGTAAATCCAGAGGCAGCTTCATGGCGCACTGCGCTTGGCAATGGGTACGCCAGGGGCGCGCCGGACAGCGTGGGCTTAGCTCTTGAGCCGAAGCTGCATGACGGTTAGTGATATGTCAACTGTTGTTACGTATCAACTGATGTGCAGGTGATGTGACGGGGGCAGCGTCTTTCTACAGGGCGAGCGATCGGGCGCCGCGGTGAGGCGCGCCAGAACCACTGCGGAGGTAGCTCTGTGGCCTAAGCAATGGACCGCCGTAGCCAAGGCAAAGCGGGGTGGCCGCCACCCGTCGTCATCCCGGCGTGCTTCGTTGCCCCCTGAGGTACTTGGTCGCGTAGTATTTTGCTGACGTAATAGTACGGGTCCAGCGGGATGTAGAACTTCACAACGTCACCTTCCATGTCCCAATTTTCGCAGACTCGTGGCTGTGTCCATCCGCGGTGGATACCGTTCATGATGGCGTGAGCCAGTAGTCCGCGCATCTCAGTGGCGTGGGTCCTGGCGGTAGCTCTTTGCACAGGGCCGTCGTTGCTCCGTCCAGTTGAGTGGTGGTGGTATCCTCGTCCACGATTGCATCCTCCGTGGTTGGGTAGTAGTGCTATCGTCCGTGTACGTCGTACTTCTGGTACCTGTACTGTGAGTAGTGTAGGCGGTCTCGCGGCTGTCTGTCCAGCTATGCGTCGAGTAAGGCGTTGGTCGGGGTGATGAGGTCCACCCCGTCGATACCAATCAGGTTTGTCATTCTTGGTAGTAGCCAGCAGCTGGCTGCGTCTTCCCCGTCATTGATTGCGGCGGGGTGCTTCATGATCACGGGGGCCTCCGTGCTGATGCACGTGTATGCCAAGAGCATAGTGGTGCGCAGTAGTTGGTTGTCGCTATGTAGTTGCTCGAACTGCTGCAGAGGCAGGTGCTGTAGTCCCCGAGATTCTTGTCGGCTCCTCAGACGTATTGCTTGGTCGCCCGCCCCATGTTTGGCATAGTGGTTCGGCTGTAATCGCGGACACGCGACCGCGTAGTAGTTGGTCTCTCCCGAACTGCATGGTGTCCCATTTCGTGAGGTCTCCCTTGATCTCGCCGTGGGTGATGTCGACGGAGGGTAGTGTGATGCTGTTCTCGGTGGGGTTTCTTAAGTATTCTGTCCATTGTTGAACGTCATCATTGCGTCTGTGCCCGCTGCAGATGTGTAGGATGACCTGTCTCGGAGTACCTGTAAGTATTGGTACTGGCGACGGGCCAGGTCTTGGTTCCAACGGTGCTGTAGAAGGTATGGGCATCTCTCTTCTAGCCACGTGGCGCTTGGCGTGCAGCGGCGGCACGTCAGTCCTGTAGCTGGCGGTGCGCGAGCGCAGTGGAGGTAGTCCAGCCTTGATGTTGGCTCTGTGCTCGTCTCGCATGGCTTCTCTGTCTGCTTCTGTGGTTGCTTCGCCGTGCCTGTCCGTGTCTCTTCCCCAAGTTGCCGCGCACGCTGCGCGCGCGAGTGGGTGCTTGACGAGTCTGCCAAATGCGTGGTCTTCGATAGGGCATGTCAGGCATCTTGCACCATGGGCCAATTTAGTTGGGTGGTCGTCAGTTGGGTGGTGGCTTCCCATGTGGACGTATAATGCGTTGATCTCGGAGATGGCACAACATTCATAACACGTGATCGTCTTGTCGTTGCGGGTGTCGTCGGTCATGAGTTGTGGGGCGAGGCCGTTGCTTTAGTAAGGTCGCAAACTGTCGTGCCATTGCCGCGGGTGCTCTTGATCACGGTTGCGTCGCGCGTGGCGCTGCGTCACGGTCTTGGTCTGTCACGTGGGGATCTGAAGCGTCCTGCGGATTGCGCTGAGGATGGTGGCGAGGCCCACGGAAGGGTGTAGCTTGTCCCCGTCGTCGAGGTATGTCAACATCCACTGTAGATCGTCGTGTACCATCTGTCCCCATGATGAATTTCGGCTGAGGCTGGCGTCGGTGATTCGTAAAAGTATGGCCCGGGCGTCTTGTAGTTGTCTCGGTAAAGATGCGCGTGGCGATGTGCGCATCTGGCCGTCTAACTTCAGTAAGTACTTTGCTGTTGTTTATCTTGTGGCGGTCGTGGTTGTTGGCCTTGTATCCAGCTGACATCCTGCATCCCTTCAGGTACCTGGCCTCGATGCTATGGAGCTGCCCCTGGTTGAGAGGGTTCCAGGTGTGTAAAATTTAGAAGAGGACCGAATTGGTCAGCGCGTCGTTGAGGAGGGTCTTGTGGTCGATACTCAGCTGTTTTCGCTTGTGGACTTTTGCGCTCATTGGGGCCCTGCTCGTTGTGGCCTCTGAGATTATCCGCTGCATCTCTAGCCCTTGCCCTCCGTCGTAGATTGCGGTACCCAACGAGATCTGGTGGTTGACGAACTCGGTCAGCTCGCTGAGGTGCTCGTTCTCAGTGTTCCCTATGTTGTTTCTGGCAAGTTACCCCTTGGCGGTTCTGCTCTGGCGTCCGCGAGGGATCAACATAACCTTGGTATGTTTTGGCGTGGGGTCGCATGCCATGGGCCATGGTCAATTTGACTATGATGTTGAAGAGCGTCTTGGCCGTGCTGATGATGTCAGGCACAGCGTTTTGTCGCGCGCGGGCGTCGGCGTTCACGTCGTCTACGATGGAGGTGTCGGTAAGCTGTGCCCTATCCATCCTCGTCGTCTCTGGCTTGTCTGTCCTTGGAGAAGATGGCCTCCCGGCGTCCTATGTCGACGTCTATCTGAAGGTTGCTGTCGATCATGCCCTCCGCGATATGTCGCGTAACCTTTGCGAAGAAATTGTTGTAGGTGAGGCGCGATGCTGGCGCTCCAGGCCGCGCGCCAGCGCGTGGCTGCACCAGTCTGGTGGCTATTTTCGTAGTGGCCCGCATGTCTGTGCGCCCGTCTGGCAGCCGTGCGCATAGGTGCTCACCGCCCGCGTTGCGGTTGAATGCGCGCGCTCTTTCCATGGCCAACTGCAGTGA